CCCCCCCCCCCAGCCTGCAAAGGAGAACTACAATGCTGATCCGGCCATCAAAGAAATACAGTTTGACACCCCTGTTGTCCAAAGACACTTCCATGGTCATGTGGCCAACAGGACTATAGGCCGAGATGCAGGGAACCTCTTACCTTCCTACTAAAGTAGTCCCTGTTTATTATTAATCACTGCTATCTGATTCTGGTATCCTATTATTGAAACTCTGGTCTCAATGCAGACATTTGATCAGACACGTGAAAAGTTTTTATTAGTTTCTGTCCAGCCTAAAGTTTTCTTTTAATATGTGTATAACATATTGCTCTGAGGTTGGTTAGAAAGAGATCTTCTGCTAGGCTGTTGCTGCTTAATTCTTGCTTCTCCATCCTGTTGAAAATTAGTTTTGCCATTGTATATAGTTGTAGAACATAAATTAAAACTAGCCTTTCCAGGAAGACAAATGGCCGTTAGTCCAGTTAATTGTCTCACCCTTGATGCCATAGATCCATCTAGCCAATCAGAAACAGCCCAGAAGTTGATCCCATCAGATGCATATAAGTAGTTCTTGTCTTCCAACAATAATTGGGATTAGCACTATTACGTGTGCCCTGCTTTATGACTTTTTTTAGCCATGATTGTTAGGTGACTCATGTGGTTGTTAAATGGATCCAGCTTCCCCCATTGACCTTGCTTGTTGGAAACTATCTGGGAAGTTCGTAAATGGCGATCACATGATCCCAGGACATTGCAACCATCATAAGAACATGCCAATCACCCAAATGTTGTGGTGGTTGTAAGTGCAAGGACCGGTTACTTTTTCATTGCTGTTATAACTTTGAATGGTCATTAAAACAAATGGCTGTAAATCAAGGACTACCTGTAAGATTTTTTTTGTCTTTTCTTTTTATTGAATAGAATAGAATAGAATTCTTTAGTGGCCAAGTGTGATTGGACACACAAGGAATTTGTCTTTGTTGCAGATGCTCTCCATGTACATAAAAAGACATGAAAAGATACATTCGTCAAGAATCAAAAGGTACAACACTTAATGATAGTCATAGGGTACAAATAAGCAGTCAGGAAACAATCAATATAAATCGTAAGGGTACAAGCAACAAGTTACAGTCATGCAGTCATAAGTGGGATGTGATGGGTGATAGGAACGATGAGAAGACCAATAGTAATAGTAATGCAGCCTTAATGAATAGTTTGACAGTGGTGAGGGAATTATTTGTTTAGCAGAGTGAAGGCATTCGGGGGAAAAACTGTTCTTGTGTCTAGTTGTTGTGGTATGCAGTGCTCTATAGCATCGTTTTGAGGGTAGGAGTTGAAACAATTTATGTCCAGGATGCGAGGGGTCTGTAAATATTTTCACATTGTTGTTAAGACAGTTGTTAAGTGAATTTTGCTCCATTTTACATTACTTGCCACAGTTGTTAAGTGAATCATTGCAGTTGTTATACACACACACACACACTCTTTTTCAATATGGAAAAATGAGCAAAACAAAAACTAGAAAGTAAGAGATAGAAAGACAAGAGAAAAAGAGGAAAAAATACCATTGTGCTGCT